ATTTTCTGCTACCATATTTACAAGATTTCTTTTTCCATTTAATAACCTTAAAATATAATTAACTATGTTTATTGGTTTCCTAGTGTTGCTATAATAAATTGCCACAAACTAAGATTAAAACAACAAGAATTTATTATCTCACCAATTAAAAATCAGTGTTTTCTAGGCACTAACATTATGGGAAGGGTAGACTATCATGGGTGTCAGAAAAATATTTTGAACACATGGAAATCTTCTATATCTAAATTGTGGTGGTGATTACTTTTTGATATACCTAAAATTAGTCCATTTTACTTTATGTAAATCACACCTCAATAAATAGGTGGAATTGTGACACTTCAAAATTTTTATGTTAACGTCCTAATCCCAGGTACCTCAGAGAATGTAATCATATAGAGAAATAGGGTTTTTACAGAGGCAATCAAATTAAAATGTGGTGATTGGGGTGGACCCTAATCCAATGACTTGTGTTCTTATAAAAAAGGAAAATTTGTTCACAATGACATATAAAAGCATGATGATATGAAGAGATAGGAAGAAGGCAGCTATCTATAAGCCGAAGAGAAAGGCAGGGAACAGATTCTTTCTTCAACCCTCAGAAGGAATCAACCCTGCCAACAGCTCAGTTTTTGACTTCTGATCTCCAGAACTGTGACATGATACATTTCTGTTGTTTATTATAGTGGTACTTTGGGTTGACAACCCTAGCAAACTAATATGCCTGACTTTAAAGTAATTATATTTTTTGTATCTCCACAATTTAAAAATTAAAATAATGATCATTATAATGCAGCCATTTTCATGAGAGTACATAACTGAATGTCTCTTTCAGTATGCATGTATACATGAACAATGAAAAATATTTGATTTATTATATTTATGTCTACTTCACTAGTTTCAACACCTTTGATTGGATTATCTTTGGAATATCAAAATTTTTTTCTTTAGTAAGATTTTTGCAGGTATACTTTTTTTGTTTTGCTAAAAGCTCTGAATTACCTAAATTATTAAATATTGTTTTAACTCTTTAAAAGTCTAAAATTATTATGCAAGTATCTCATCTTGACATCTTCTCTATAAAGAGATCAGCTCTACCACATACTATTTACTAAAGCCTCTTAAAATAAAGATTCTGCAAATGTAAACAAAAAAGATTATGACAGCAAGGGTCATGGTACATATCCATGTACATAAGGTGGGCTCTTCAGACATTAAGTTTCCTAGAGAAAAGAAGGGTATTCTTAAACCTACTCTGTTTATAAATTTCAAATGAGATGATGACATGCTATATTTTTCACTTGGCAGTTGGCATTGTACATGGTGGTAACTCTCAGAAAGAATGATGATTACTTGATGTAGTGAAATATATGTTGCACAAATATGGACGTCAAAACACACTGTAATTAAAAATGCACTAAATCATGCTCTAGTCTTGGTGGAGCTTTATAATTACCAAAGCCAGTTGGGTTACACTAGAAAAATAAAAATTTCTTACTCTCAAAACTGACAAGTTCAGACACATCAGTCATGAATCTTCAACTTGGAGGCAGGCCCAGGGAAGGAGGTCAGTGAATAGCTGAGTATAATTTTCCATCAAAATAGCAATCTTTAAATGGATTGCTATAGACATGTTAAAGAAGTTTGTTGCATATTCAGTGCTTATAATCATAATTTCATTAGACTTATTATTTATTTTACTCATGTGACCTTATTTAATACAATCATTTTCATTGCTACTGCTCTCTGTAATCTTTTTTAAGAACAGATATTTAATTATGTTCTTACTTTATCAATTTTATACTGAGTATAACTGGACACTATGTGTAAGAACATTTTAGACTTAATCTTATTGTTGAAAGCATATTAAAATAAATAATTTAAATGAAACTAATTTTTACGCATTCTAATAAAATTGTATACATAATTATATTCAGAAACTTGAATGGCTTAGGAGATTGATAATAAAATTGCAAAGTTTCCTGCCTTTAGGTCATGAGTTCAAAATGAACTTCATATTATAAACCAAGAAAAAATAAATAAATAGCTGTGGTAACAATAACTTCATAATGTGACTCAACAGTTTTGTTTATGTGTGTCTATAAAAAGAAGTAGGCAAAGTATGCAGAAATGCACATCTATTCAAATCTTTGACATTTTTTTTCCAAAAGTAGTACTCTAGTACTGTAGTCTGCATTCTCTGACAGAAGAGATAGATAGATAATTTAGAGATAGATAGATAGATAGATAGATAGATAGAGAGATAGATAGATAGATGATAGATGGATAGATAGGTGATAAATAAAGATAGATAATGAAAGGATTAAAGAGAATAAAACTGGGCAGAGGAAGCTTATTGTGCTTAGGAGATATCTTGCAGAAAGCTTGCAGACTTGAGCTTGGCATAGCCTAGATAACCACTAGACATCTGGTGTCAGGAGGAATCAAGGATGGACTGGACTGCTAAGTCAAGCTCTGTACATCAGCAGAACTGCTTGCAGCCAGCAGAAGTTAATAAAAGCCTGTCCACGCCCACTTCACTGGCCATTTGATTCCCTTTTTTGGACTCAGCCCACCTGCATCCAGGTGTCTGAAATAAAAGTTCTTTTGATACATTATGGCCTCATGTATAGGTGTACAACCCCAGCCCACTCAGAACCTTTCAGATAATAGACAGACAGATAGAAAACAGGTATTTATGCCGAAACCTGTTTGGCTCAGTGGATAGAGTGTCAGCCTGCAGACTGAAAGGTCTCAGGTTTGATTCTGGTGAAGGGCATGTACCTTGGTTGCAGGTACATCCCCAGTTGGGTGCGTGCAGGAGGCAGCTGATCGATGTCTCTCTCATTGATGTTTCTAACTCTCTATCCTTCTCCCTTCCTCTCTGTAAAAAATAAAATAAAATATATCTTAAAAAAAGAAAACAGGTATTTATTATGATAGCAATTTACATCCATTCCACAAAGATATGTTCATATATAATTAAACTTGAACATATTTTCCCTGTGAATAATACAAATATGAAAGCAGAAAATCACGCATATCTTCCTATTGATTTTTAAAAATATGTTCCTCCTAAGCTTAATTAACCCTCCCTTGATTACCAAATGTGCATTTCCTAAAATCCTTTGCAACCTCCAGACTTTACCCCTACTTTTTGTAGAATGAGTTATGGTAGTAAGTAGATTTTCCTCTTCTTCAGGCATATTTTATATTAAAACTTGAGGCCTGATGCAGGAAATTCATGCAAGAATAGGTCTTCCTTCCCTAGGCTGCAGGCATTGGCTTTCCTCTGGCACCTGGGACCCAGGCTTCCCTCACAGCCCCGGCTTCATCTGGAAGGACATCTGGTCTAATTAGCATATTACACTTTTATTATTATAGATTAAAGTATCAGCAAATGGTGTATATTTCCTTGCCTTTCATTTTCAGGAAAATCTACTGCTAAATTCCCCTAGGCTACTTAAAAATTGTGCACTCATTAAGTGCCCATCCTGGGCCATAAATCTTGCTTCTATGAAGTTTATAATCTAGCCACTTAGGAAAGGATTTGTTAAAGTATTGGTGTAGCCAAGGCCAACTTTCCACATAGGATCTCAGATATAATATTGATGACATGATGGGCACAGAAAATTGTTGAATGCTAAAAACATTGTTATATGACAAAGTGAAATAAAGTAAAAAAATCCTATCAGATGTGGGAAGAAGAAAGACATCTAGAAGACAATGGAGTGAGCTTTAATCAATATTAATACCTGAGGAATGACAGCAGCAGATGAGCTACTTCCATGTGAAACAATTAATGTTGGCAAGGGCTTGCTTTGAGCAATGGGTTTTTCTGGTCATAAAGCTAAGAGACAGCTCTGCAAACAATGGCAAACCCTGTATACAGTAACTGTCATCATCGTTGAATGAGTGGTCAGATGTGTAATTGGTGACTTCGGAATCACTAATTAGGCACTAATCTTTTAAACAGCCATGTTTGCTTACAGAAATGACTCTTTGGTAAGTTCCCTCCACACACACACACACACACACACACACACACACACACACACACAATGTCAGGGCAGCTTTGACTTTTACAAGAGAAGACAGTCTACTTCAGTAGTTGATCTGGCTTTCCAGGGGACCACGCCACTGATTCCACAATTAGAAAGATGGCTTAACATGTCAAGGACCCTGGTAAAGAAATACCTTTCCTTAAATTGACAGTGAGGGATGAACAAGTGAGACTGAACCCTTTGCTGAGAGAAGATTTAATTGGCAAGGGTCAGGGATTTCACAAAGATATGGAGCTCCGTAAGGATACAAAGAAAAGTATCCTGAAGAGGAAGAAAAACTGCCTAAAGTAGGTCTGGTGATGTCAATGTCAATTTTTTCCTTCACAATCTTGCCTGGGGCTGGTTCTGCCAACACTGCAGATATGATGACATCTGTATGGCATATCTGTAGTGCTGTAGCATTTTATTTTACACCTTGGTAAAATAAAGAAAATTTTGGAGAAAAATGAGAAACTAAATTATATGTTTGTTTTTCTAAAATTCATATTGCTATGCATTCAAAAAGAGTATAAAATATAGATTAATTGAAAGCATTCTGAATTTTACTGCTAATTCTCATGTGTTGAAAAAAAAATATGGTCTCAGATCAAGTAGATGAAGTTTGAATAGTTCTTAAATAGCCTAAATTATTTTTGCTCTTAATAACCAATAGCTTTAGAGTTTAATAAACATGCTTATTTGAATTTAAAAAAACCTGTGTTTTGGGTATGAATGTGTAGTTTGTAGGTATATTTAAATTTCTGCCAGGAAGAAACATTTTTGAACCACTACTCTGTATTATGAACTGTGTCATGTGTAAACTGTTTCTGGAATGTTTGCAATCTCATTACAATAAAAACATCCTAATTTGGGCAAATGGATGCCTTGAAACTGACTCAAGTCTAAAATATTATACACGTAGCTGGTAAACATGATTATTAATATAGTCATATTTTCCATATTGATCTGAATCAGCTGGAATGATCTTAATAGACACAATTAGAGTCTGATTCCAAGGTAAGTTACTTTGTTTTTTAGCAAAGACATTCAGTTCTTTAATACAACCAATGCTAGGAATATCATAGTGTTCTATTATCAAACATTATTTTTCATTATGTATTCCAACAGATAATTCAGTTAACAATCTCTTTATTTATTCTGCAATCCAGGAATTCGAAACCAATGATTTGTACAAGGTTTATTTTTCAGGCTTTTTTGATGGTTCAGCTTTTTTTTATGTCATTTGCTTTCTCAATTTCTGTAAAACAGTTTTATAAAATTTTACAGAGAGTTTGTTGAGAAGATTCATCCATATTATGGCACATTGTGATATTGCATTTATTTTTACTACTGTGGTATATGCCAATGTGTGAATAACACAGGGTTTATTCATTTAGTCTGTCACAGTGGGTATCCGCATTATTTACAGAATTTTGCTGTTATGATATTCTCACACAAGTCTCTGGCAGTTCATGTGCAAATGTCTCTCTAGGGTGCATACCTAGGAGTCAAATTCTGAAACAAGGCACATGAATGTTCAAATTTAAAAGGACTTAGGCAATGCCAACTTTTTCTTAGGTGGTTTCACCAAGTTGAAATCCTACTTTCTAATATTATCACATCGCCATTAATTAAACCTATTAATCTTTCCCCTTATAGACACCTTTATTAATATAAGATTCTCAGAACTGACGGATTGGGGTCATTAAAATACAGTAGCACCTTTGACAATCCTATTTTTCTGATAAAAATATTTATATTTTTATGTGCTTTAAGCTTTCTGCTTCTTTGTTTTGCCAAACTTAAGAGTTTCCTGATTTAGCTCATTTCAAGGATTGTCTTTGTCATCATAACTTTAGAAGTAATACTTGTTCTCGCTAGTATACTAATTAGTCAAACCAGATGTTTTGTACTAGAAAAAGTTGCACTTTATTTTTTTCAACTCAAATGCATCTGTTAATATGCATTTGATGAATATAAAAAAAGAGAAAATACAATCCAGAATAAACAATTTTAAAAAGTGATATGAAATTAAAGTGATAGAAATTTAACATAATTTAAGTGAATTGTATGCTATATCTCTATTAACTTATAATTACTTAAAGTAATGAAAAGCAAAAATTATATATTAGTTGGGAAACAAAGGAGATGAGAAATATATTCTTTCAGTAAATATGCTTATGCATGTGTTCAGTTCTGACATTTAGCTTCTTAAAAGTGAGAATAACTATGTCATTTTAATTAGACATCATGATCAAAATTTTTCTGTGTATTTAATAAAGGAAACAGAATATGCTACTATTCTGTTTCCTTCATTAAATACACAGAAAAATAATCAGTTCAACATTAGCATCATAATTTTATTTGTTAATAAGGAGAAAATATTTTAACATGTAATAATTCAAATAAAGTAAAATGATGGTTTCTTAGAATTAAATATTTCAAGACAGCATTTGTAAGATTTAACTACATTGTTAGATAAGGTTTAACACATCCAAAATAAATACCTTTCTGCAAATTTTATCTAGTATAATTGGAAAAATATTCTGTCTTTAATAGCATTCTAATCACATTAAGATGTTAAAGTAATCTATATTACATTGGATATTTTTATATTCTTTTCTAATGATTAATCTTAGGGGTAGGGATTGAAAATAACTTTTAAAAATTGCATTAAGTATATGAATGAAAGCCATTTTTAAGAGTTTATATTTTCTTTCTGAAGCATACTGCTTTACTCTAGCCATATATTTTCTCAAGAGCAATGAATTCTTTTAAAATAGTAGGGATTTGGCAAAGGTGAGGACAATAAATGAAAATTACCATCAACCTGACCACCAGCAATCTACTGTATATCTAATTTAGACCATTCTGCAAAAAAGGAAATGTACGAATTTTTTCTCCCTCACATCTTTTTTTAACAGAAATAGATATAAGACAGGGAAAATCAAAAGCTTCCATAGTGGGATTAAGGTAGTTTAGTGAAGGTATCCATGAAAACAATAGTAATTTGCAACATCTGACTGGATGAATGAGTGGAAAACTTTTTTCTTGTGCTGTTCATACTTTTACATTAAGAAAATGAATTAGCCCTAGCTGGTTTGGCTCAGTAGGTAGAACATCTGCCTCTGGACTGAAGGGTCCAAGGTTCAATTCTGGTCAAGTGCACATGCCCCTGTTGCAGGCTCCATCTCCAAAAGGGGGCATACAGGAGGCAGCAGATCAATGTTTCTCTCTCATCACTGATGTTTCTCTCCTCCCTCTCTTTTCTCTATGAATCAATAAAAATATATTTTTAAAAAAAGATTTTAAGGGAAAATTAAATAAAAATCTATGCCATGCTATAAAAGAGTAACTATAGTAAAGTGAGGAGTTATGAATTGACTCCATTAAAACAATGCAATTTTGTTCTTGAAAATAATCCCAATTTGAAGACCACCTTCAATGATACAGTTGGAAGAAATCATCCTACTTCTTTCTATCAAAAGTGAACAAGGCAGCCCTATCCAGTGTGGTTCAGTGGTAGCACATTGGCCCATCCACCAAAGGGTCATACGTTTAATTTCAGGTCAAGGGCATGTATCTGGGTTGCAGGTTCATCTATAGACCTGGTTGGGGCTCTCTCACACCAATGTTTTCTTCTATAGCTCACTCTCCTTCTACTCCTTCCCTTCCATTCTCTCTAAAATTCAATGGAAAATATATCCTCAGGTAAAAGTGAACTAGGCATACCGTACTTACACAAGTCTGAATCAGGCTTTATATAAACATTAAAATGGCAAAAGTTGGAATTCAAACTAAACTACACTGAGGGTAGTGTTGTTCACTAGATCATTTCTTCCACCTAGGATGACCTGATGCTCTGGTTTTGTTTCCTGCTGAAAGTATGTTATACCTACGTACTGTCCCAGCATATCTTTCCTTTCTCCTCTATCTTTTTTCCCATTACTTCCTGTTAGGTCAGATAAAATAATTGAATTAATACCACTTCCCTGGGAACTGACCTTTAGGCCACTTCACAATGGACATTCCCTTTTGCTTAGACCACATTCCATTTTGTTTAGACTACCTTCTCTTTGCTAAGAACATCATCTCAAAAGTTTCTCACTTCAAAAGTCCTATCACTAGTCCAGAAGACTCCTCAGCCATTCAGCTTTGGGTCCTTCTACAATAGATTGGGGATGTTCAGTCAGGAGGGTCACCCCCTTGTTTCTCATGGTGAATTTTTTAGTAGTGGGGTTGCCTGCCCTAATTTAGTCACCTTTGGATTTGTGGTCTGTCACTCATTATTCTTCTCTTGTGGGCCATGCTACACTCCTCTGCACACTCATAGGGGAGATCAGGCCCAAGCATCTCATTTTCGTTTGTAACACTGGCTATAATATAAGCTAAAAAATAAGTCTCAGTGGTCTAAAAATGACACTTTCAGTTTTAACACATTGTGCAATTTAGGTAATTGCTGTCACCGCAATGGAAAATGGTCAAAGATTCCCAATATCCAAGCCTTTTTTTTTTAATAATAAATTTTTATTGTTCATATTATTACAAATATCCCCCCCCCTTCTCCATTGCTCTCCTCCATCAGGTTCCCACCCCACCCTCTGCCCTTTCCCCACCCTCATTGTCCTCATCCATAGGTGCACAGTTTATGTTCAGTCTCTACCCACATCCCCCTCTCTCCTTTTCCCCAAGGATCGTCAGTTCACTCCCCTTCCATACCTCTGATTCTATTATGTTCAACAGTTAATATTGTTCATCAGATTTTTTTTTAATTTCCTTGGTTTTTAGATTAACTTGTTGATAGTTACGTATTTGTTGTTCATAATTTTTATCTTTATTTACTTTCTCTTCTGAAAGAACCCCCTTCAGCAATTCATATAATTCTGGTTTGGTGTTGATTAACTCCTTTAGCTTTTTTTTTAGTGAAGCTCTTTATCTGACCTTCGATTCTGAGTGATAGCTTTGCTGGATAGATTATCTTTGGCTATAGGTTCTTACTATTCATCACCTTGCATATTTCTTGCCATTCTCATTTGGCCTGCATGGTTTGAGAAATCAGCTGACAATCGTATAGGTGCTCCTTTATAGGTAACTACCTTCTTTTCTCTTGCTGCTTTTAATATTCTCTCTTTGTCTTTTGCTCTTGGAATTTTAATTATGATTTGTCGTGGTGTGGTCCTCTTTGGATTCCTTTTGTTTGGAGTTCTGTGTGCTTCCTGGACTTGAAAGTCTAATTCTTTCACCAGGTGGGGGGAGTTTTCTGTCACTATTTCTTTCAGTATGTTTTCGATATCATGCTCTCCCTCATCTTCTGGGATCCCCATAATTCTGATGTTGGTTCACTTGAAGTTGTCCCAGAGTTTTCTTACATTATCTTCAACTTTCTGGATTCTCTTGCCTTCTAGCTTCTGCGGAGGAGTGTCTTCTGGCTCTTTATGTTCCAAATCTTTGACTTGATTCTTGCGATCTTCCATTTTGTTTTTAGGACTCTGTATAATATTTTTTATTTCAGACAATGTATTCTTTATTTCTTGTTGATCCATTATCATTTCTTGTTGATTCCTTATTAATTCTAGTTGATCCCTTTTCATATCCTCATAGGTCTTATCGATCTTTTCTAGGAAATTCTTGAAAAACCTTATAAGCGTAGATTTGAACTCTATATCCAGTCTCTTTTTGTCCTCCATTTCTTGCCTTTGTGATCTATTTCATCTTGGCATTTTCACAGCTTCCCTGATGGGGTGGAGCCTATAGGTTTGGCTTCAGCCACGCCCTATGCAGCTCCTGAGTCTCAGGGTCCTTCAGTATTCGTTGCAAGCACCTCTGAGAGAAAGGTGCCCTCGATTTTCACCTGCTACCAAACAGTCTAGGCTCTCCCCCAGTGAGCCCCATATTGGGGTTCAGTTCAGTTGGAAGTGGAGTTGGAGGTGGCGTTCAGAGCAGTCTGGAGCCCCTGTCTCCTTCCCGCCAGGGCAATCCCAAGGCACAGCCAACTGTCCCTTTTCTGCACGCAATGT